GGAGGGGTTTTGGGGGGGTCTCTCTGTGGGGGTTGTATTTGGGGAAGGGGAAGGGCTTGAGGAAGGGGGCAGAGTTGAGAAGGGGTGGGGTGAAGGGGTGGGGTTGGATTGGGGTGGAGCTGGTGGGGAAGGGCGGAGTTTAATTGGGTCTAATTGGAGTGGAGTCAAATGACAAGGGTTTAATTGGGGTGGAGCCAAGAAGAAGGGGCAGGTCTTGGTGGGGTGGGGCTGAGGGTGGAGCCAAGGAAAAGGGGTGGGGTTTTTGCACAGGGCGTGTCCACGTTACCTGGGCAGGGCTTGTGTCCCCTGTGGCCTCCCGAGGGTGGAGTTTTGGGTCTGGGGTGGGCGTGGTTGGTGCCATGGGCACGGCCTGACCCTCCCTCTCTTCTCCCCCCCCAGGCTGACTTTCTTCATCTGCTCGGTGGGGTTCACGTCCCCGATGCTCTTCGACGAGCGCAAGTTCCCCTATCACCTCATGCTCCAGAAGTTCCTCTGCTCCGGCGGCCACAACGCGCTCTTCGAGTGAGCCCCAGCCCTGGGCCCCTGACCCTGCTCCCTCAACCCCAGAGCCCAGCCCTGAACCCCAGACCCTGTCTCATGAACCCTAGACCCCACTCCTTCAACCCCAAACTCCACCCCGAACCCCAAACCCCATTTGTTGCCCCTTCACCCCATTTTATGCCCTCAAGCCCATTTCGTGCCATGTGTCCCCACTTCCTACCCCTGAACCCATTTTGTGCCTCCCAGATCTCATTTCCTACCCCCTGATCCCCATTTCACGCTTTTCTTACCACATTTCACATCCTCTAGCCCTTTTTCTCACCCTTGAACCCCATTTATGCTTTACAGTCCCAGTTTGCCTCCACTTGAACCCCATTTCAGGCCTTTCTGACCCCATTTCATTTCCTCCAGCTCTTTTTTTGGTCTCTTGGACTCAATTTTGTGCTTTCCTGAAACCATTTCCTGCCCCTAAACCCCCTTTTGTGCCTTCCTGACCCCGTTTCCCCTCTCTTTAAACCCCATTTCATGCATTTCTCACCCTATTCTCCCCTGACCCCCATTTTGTGTTCCCCCCGACCCCATTTTGTACCTTTCTGCCCCCATTTCCAACCCCTGACCCCCACTTCGTGCCCCCATTCCATCCAAGCACTCCCCCTCCCAACCCCCTGTCCCCCAACCCTCCCGTGGGGGGTCCCGTGATCTGGGGGTCCCCCTCTCACCCCGTGTCCCCCCAGGACGTTCAACTGGGCGCTGTCGATGGGGGGGAAGGTGCCGGTGGGCGAGGGCCTGGAGCACCCCGACCTGCCCGACGGCACCGGCGAGTTCCTGGACGCGTGGCTGATGCTGGTGGAGAAGATGGTGAACCCCAGCACGGTGCTGGAGTCGCCCCACGCGCTGCCCGCCAAGGGACCCCCCCACGGGCACCCCCCGTTCAGCGCCCTGCGCTTCCTCGTCGTCACGCAGAAGGTCGGGGAGGGAAAAGGGATAAAGGGGGTTTGCGGGACAGAGGGGAAGCTTGGCGTTGCAGAATAAGGGTTGGAAAAGGAGGACGAGAAGGGGTGGGAAACGTGAGGGGAAAAGGGCAGGAAAATGGGGAGAGAAAAAGGTGTGAAAAGGGAGCAAAGGAAGGTCAGGAAAGGGGGGAAAAGGCAAGAAACGTGAGGGAAAAAGAATGGGAAAAAGGAGAGAAAAAGGGTGAAAAACATGAAAAAATGAGAGGGAAAAGGGCGGGCAGTGTAAGAGAAAAACGTGGGAAACATGAGGGGAAAAAATGGCGGGAAACGTGAGGGGGAAAGTGGTGGGAAACGTGAGGGGAAAAAAGGGCGGGAAAAATGAGGGGAAAAAGGGTGGGAAATGTGAGGGGAAAAAAGGGCAGGAAACGTGAGGGGGAAAAAGGGTGGGAAATGTGAGGGGAAAAGTGGCGGGAAATGTGAGGGGAAAAAGGGTGGGAAACGTGAGGGGAAAAAATGGCGGGAAATGTGAGGGGAAAAAAGGGTGGGAAACATAAGGGGAAAAGTGGCGGGAAATGTGAGGGGGAAAAAATGGCAGGAAATGTGAGGGGAAAAGGGCGGGAAATGTGAAGGGGAAAAAGGGCGGGAAATGTGAGGGGGGAAGAAGGGCGGGAAACATGAGGGGAAAAAGGGCAGGAAACGTGAGGGGAAGAAAACACAGGAAAAGGGAGAGAAAAACGGGTGGGAAATATGAGGGGAAAAGGGCAGGAAAAGGGAGAACAAAAGAGTGTGGAAAAAGGTGACAT